ATACACTTCTTGATAATGGAATTCGCGGACAACCAATGAGGGATGGTCATAATAAGGTTTACAAGTCGTTTTCGGATGTAATTGAAGGCAAAGAGGGAAGATTTCGCGAGACTCTGCTTGGCAAACGGGTCGATTATTCGGGTCGTTCTGTCATTGTTGTAGGACCCTCACTTCCATTACATCGATGTGGATTGCCTCGGGAAATAGCAATAGAGCTTTTTCAGACATTTGTAATTCGTGGGCTAATTAGACAACATCTTGCTTCGAACATAGGAGTTGCTAAGAGTAAAATTCGGGAAAAGGAGCCCATTGTATGGGAAATACTGCAAGAAGTTATGCAGGGGCATCCCGTATTGCTGAATAGAGCGCCTACTCTGCATAGATTAGGCATACAGGCATTTCAACCCATTTTAGTGGAAGGACGTGCTATTTGTTTACATCCATTAGTTCGTAAGGGATTCAATGCAGACTTTGATGGGGATCAAATGGCTGTTCATGTACCTTTATCTTTGGAGGCTCAAGCGGAGGCTCGTTTACTTATGTTTTCTCATATGAATCTCTTGTCTCCAGCTATTGGGGATCCCATTTCCGTACCAACCCAAGATATGCTTATTGGTCTATATGTATTAACGAGTGGGAATCACCGAGGTATTTGTACAAATAGGTATAATCCATGGAATCACAGAAACTATCAAAATGAAAGAACTTATGATAATAACTATAAGTATAGAAAAAAAAAAGAACCTTTTTTTTGTAATTCCTATGATGCAATTGGAGCTTATCGACAGAAAAGAATCAATTTAGATAGTCCTTTGTGGCTTCGATGGCGACTAGATCAACGCGTTATTGCTTCAAGAGAAGTTCCTATCGAGATTCACTATGAATCTTTGGGTACCTATCATGAAATTTATGGGCACTATCTAATAGTAAGAAGTGTAAAAAAAGAAATTATTTGTATATACATTCGAACAACTGTCGGTCATATTTCTCTTTTTCGAGAAATCGAAGAAGCTATACAAGGGTTTTGTCGAGCCTGCTCATTTGGTACCTAATCATACGGTATCTAAATTAAGTAATTCTATGACACCAGTGTGAATTCGGGTCTCTCCGGTTCAACTAGGAACCTAGTTCCTGAATTTCTATGTGAATTAAGATCGAGAAAAGGAAGTTTTCCAATCATTGACTCAAACTCATTGTCGAATCCCACTCAGCAGAATATGGAGGTACTTATGGCAGAACGAGTCAATCTAGTCTTTCACAATAAAGTAATAGATGGAACTGCCATTAAAAGACTTATTAGCAGATTAATAGATCACTTCGGAATGGCATATACATCACACATTCTGGATCAAGTAAAGACTCTGGGTTTCCAGCAAGCCACTGCTACATCCATTTCATTAGGGATTGATGATCTTTTAACAATACCTTCTAAGGGATGGTTAGTACAAGATGCTGAACAACAAAGTTTGATTTTGGAAAAACACCATCATTATGGGAATGTACATGCAGTAGAAAAATTACGCCAATCCATTGAGGTATGGTATGCTACAAGTGAATATTTGCGACAAGAAATGAATCCTAATTTTAGGATGACAGACCCCTTTAATCCAGTCCATATAATGTCTTTTTCGGGAGCCAGAGGAAATGCATCTCAAGTACACCAATTAGTGGGTATGAGAGGATTAATGTCAGATCCTCAAGGACAAATGATTGATTTACCCATTCAAAGCAATTTACGCGAAGGACTATCTTTAACAGAATATATCATTTCTTGCTACGGAGCCCGCAAAGGAGTTGTGGATACTGCTGTACGAACATCAGATGCTGGATATCTTACGCGCAGACTTGTTGAAGTAGTACAACACATTGTTGTACGCAGAACAGATTGTGGAACCATCCGAGGGGTTTCTGTGAGTCCTCGAAATGGGATCATGCCGGAAAGAATTTTTATTCAAACATTAATTGGTCGTGTATTAGCAGACGATATCTATATGGGCCCACGATGCATTGCCATTCGAAATCAAGATATTGGAATTGGACTTGTCAATCGATTCATAACCTTTCGAACACAACCAATATCTATTCGAACCCCCTTTACTTGTAGGAGTACATCTTGGATCTGTCGATTATGTTATGGTAGGAGTCCTACTCATGGCGACCTGGTCGAATTGGGAGAAGCTGTAGGTATTATTGCGGGTCAATCTATTGGAGAACCAGGGACTCAACTAACATTAAGAACTTTTCATACCGGTGGAGTATTCACAGGTGGTACTGCCGAACATGTACGAGCCCCCTCTAATGGAAAAATCAAATTCAATGAGGATTTGGTTCATCCCACACGTACGCGTCATGGGCATCCTGCCTTTCTATGTTCTATAGACTTGTATGTAACTATTGAGAGTGAAGATATTCTACATAACGTGACTATTCCACCAAAAAGTTTTCTTTTGGTTCAAAATAATCAATATGTAGAATCAGAACAAGTGATTGCGGAAATTCGCGCGGGAACATACACTTTCAATTTGAAAGAGAGGGTTCGAAAACATATTTATTCTGAATCAGAGGGAGAAATGCACTGGAGTACCGATGTGTACCATGCACCTGAATTTACATATAGTAATGTCCATCTTTTACCAAAAACAAGCCATTTATGGATATTATCAGGGGGTTCGTGCAGATCCAGTGGAGTCCCTTTTTCACTCTACAAGGATCAAGACCAAATTAATCTTCGTTCTCTTTCTGTCGAACGAAGATATATTTCGAGTCTCTCATATATTTCGAGTCTCTCAGTGAATAATGATCAAATGAGATACGAATTATGTAGTTCTGGTTTTTCTGGTAAAATAAAAGAAGATATGATTCCTGATTATTCAGAACTTAATCGAATCATATCTATTGTTCATTGTAATCTCAAATATCCTACTACTTTCCATGAGAATTCTGATTTATTGGCAAAAAGGCGAAGAAATCGATTTCTCATTCCACTCCAATCGATTCAAGAACGAAAGAAAGAACTAATTCCCCATTCAGGTATCTCGATTGAACTACCGATAAATGGCATTTTACGTAGAAATAGTATTCTTGCTTATTTCGATGATCCTCGATACAGAAGAAAGAGTTCGGGAATTACTAAATATGGGACTCTAGGGGTTCATTCAATCGTTAAAAAAGAGGATTTGATTGAGTATCGAGGAATCAAAGAATTTAAGCAAAAATACCAAATGAAACTAGATCGATTTTTTTTCATTCCCGAGGAAGTGCATATTTTACCTGAATCTTCTTCGATAATGGTACGGAACAATAGTCTGATTGGAGTAGATACACGAATCGCTTTAAATACAAGAAGCCAAGTGGGCGGATTAGTCCGAGTGGAGAGAAAAAAAAAAAGGATTGAACTGAAAATCTTTTCTGGAGATATCCATTTTCCTGGAGAGACAGATAAGATATCCCGACACAGTGGCATCTTGATACCCCCAGGAACAGGAAAAACAAATTCTAAGGAATCCAAAAAATTGAAAAATTGGATCTATGTCCAACGGATCACACCTACTAAGAAAAAGTATTTTGTTTTAGTTCGACCCGTAGTGACATATGAAATATCGGACGGTATAAATTTAGCAACACTCTTCCCCCCGGATCTGTTACAAGAAAGGGATAATATACAACTTCGAGTTGTCAATTATATTGTTTACAGAAATGGCAAACCAATTCGGGGAATTTCTGATACAAGTATTCAATTAGTTCGGACTTGTTTAATTTTGAATTGGGACCAAGACAAAAAAAGTTCTTCTATCGAAGAGGCTCATACTTCCTTTGTTGAAGTAAGTACAAATGGTCTGATTCGAGATTTCCTAAGAATTGACTTAGTGAAATTCCCTATTTCGTATCTCAGAAAAAGGAATGATCCCTCAGGCTCAGGATTGATCTCAGATTCAGATAATGTGTCAGATTACACCAATAGCAATCCCTTTTATTCCAAGACAAAAATTCAACAATCACTTAGCCAAAATCAAGGAACTATTCGCACGTTGTTAAATAAAAATAAGGAATGCCCATCTTTGATAATTTTGTCATCATCTAATTGTTTCCGAATGGGTCCATTCAACGCTGGAAAATATCACAATGTGATAAAAGAATCAATTAAAACAGATCCTATAATTGAAATTAGGAATTTGATTGGCCCTTTAGGAACAGTCCTTCAATTTTTGAATTTTTATTCATTTTACTATTTAATAACTCATAATCCTATTTTGGTAACTAAATATTTGCAACTTGAAAATTTAAAACAGACTTTTCAAGTAATTAACTATTATTTAATGGATGAAAATGGGAGAATTTTGAATCCCGATTCATGCAGTAACATCGTTTTGAATTCATTCAATTTGAATTGGTATTTTTGTCATCCTAATTATTATCATAATTATTTTGAAGAAAGATCTACAATAATTAGTCTTGGACAGTTTATTTGTGAAAATGTATGTATAGCCAAAAACGGACCCCATCTCAAATCGGGTCAAGTTTTGATTGTTCAAGTTGACTCTGTAGTAATAAGATCCGCCAAGCCTTATTTGGCCACTCCAGGAGCAACTGTTCATGGTCATTATGGAGAAATCCTTTACGAAGGAGATACATTAGTTACATTTATATATGAAAAATCGAGATCCGGTGATATAACGCAGGGTCTTCCAAAAGTGGAACAAGTGTTAGAAGTGCGTTCAATTGATTCAATATCGATGAACCTAAAAAAAAGAATTGAGGGTTGGAACGAGCATATAAAAAAAATTCTTGGAATTCCTTGGGGATTCTTGATTGGGGCTGAGCTAACTATAGTGCAAAGTCGTATATCTTTGGTTAATAAGATCCAAAAGGTTTATCGATCCCAGGGGGTGCAAATCCATAATAGGCACATAGAAATTATTGTACGCCAAATAACATCAAAGGTGTTGGTTTCAGAGGATGGAATGTCTAATGTTTTTTTACCTGGAGAACTAATTGGATTG